ACTGACACCTCTGGAGGTTCTGCAGCGGATGCCGCCACCTCTGGAGGTTCTACAGTAGTGCCCTCAGGATACAGGGAGAGTTCGGCAAAGGTTCCTTCTACCTTGACATGACAGGTTGAAAGTGCGTTTCTGGGCGCCACCACCATGCAAGGAGCTGAAGCGAGCACCGCGGCTTCGGGAGGTTCTGCAGCATGCGCCGCCACCTCTGGAGAAACTGCAGCGGGCACCATTGCTTCGGGAAACACAGCAGCGAGCACCACTAACTCAGGAGATTCTGCAGCTTCAGCCGCCACCTCTGGAGACCTAATAGTGGGCGCCGCCGCCTCTGGGAGTTCTGTGGTGGTGTATGCGGCCCAAACACACCAAAAAGCGATCCCCATCAAGGGAAGCGCTTCAGACAGGAGAATCAGTTCAGGAACAGGAGGGTTAAAGTGAGTAGGTTTCGGGATACCAGCTGCGCGTGCAGACACCAGCGGTGCATCCCTCACACTGGATACCAGACTGGGATACCGAAGGACTGACCTTGATAATCTGGGTGCAACAGACAGGACGTGACGTGACTCTGGATGATCCGCTGTGAGGTGACGTGACTCTGGACGATCAGCTGAGAGGTGACGTGACTCTGGACGATCAGCTGAGAGGTGACGTGACTCTGGACGATCAGCTGAGAGGTGACGTGACTCTGGACGATCAGCTGAGAGGTGACGTGACTCTGGACGATCAGCTGAGAGGTGACGTGACTCTGGACGATCAGCTGAGAGGTGACGTGACTCTGGCCGATCAGCTGTGACTTGACTGGACTCTTGACGATCAGTTGTGACTTGACTAGACTCATGATAATAAACTGTGACTAGATTCGACTCAGATAGATCAACTGTGACTAGACTCGACTCAGGAAGATCAACGGTGACTAGACTTGACTCAGGAAGATCAGCTGTGACCTGACTTGACTCATGATAATGAACTGTAACTTGACTCATGACGATCAACGGTGACTAGACTCGACTCTGATAGATCAACTGTGACTAGACTTAACTCAGGAAGATCAGCTGTGACTAGACTTGACTCAGGAAGATCAGCTGTGACTAGACTTGACTCAGGAAGATCAACGGTGACTAGACCTAACTCCGGCAGATCAGCTGTGACCTGACTTAACTTGTGATAATGAACTGTAACTTGACTCACGACGATCAACTGTGACTAGACCTGACCCATGATGATCAGTTGTGACTTGATTAGACTCATGACTATCAGCTGTGACTTGACTAGACTCATGATAATAAACTGTGATTTGATTTGATT